AAAATTAAAGGTTTACTGATAAATTATTTTATTGTAATACTTATAAATATTTTAAGATATCACAAAATATATTTTCATTAGAAAAGTTTACTTTCTTTATAAAAATCTTCTGCTTGGGTTGCTACAATATAAAAAAGATGTTTGAGACTCTAGAAAGAGTGCAGTTTACAACAAAGATTTTTAGGGGTCTGGAAGCTAAAACATGGAGAACGGTTACAGGAATTGGACATGTCTAGTCTAATGAAAAAATGGGCTGGGGGTGGACAAGATACCAGTGTTCCAATATTGGAGTGGCTGCCACAAAGAAGTGGGGTGGGGGTTGTTAACCTTTTCTCCGAAGTACCTGAAGGCAGGACAAGAAGCAATGGATGGAAATTAATCAAGGAGAAAAGCAGCCTAGAAGTAACAAGAAATTTCCTAACAGAACAATAAACCATTGGAATGGCTTACCCTTAGAGGTTGTGGGTGCTCCATCACTTTTAAGAAGAGACTGGGCAGCCACTTGTCTGGAATGACATAGGGTCTCCTGAATGAGCAGGGGGTTGAACTAGAAGAACTCCCAAGGTCCCTTTCAACTATTCTGTTATTCTGCTATAATCTACAACATTTCTCAAAAACTGTCTTTATACATATATGCTTACTAAGAACTCTCAGCTGAAAAATGGTTATTTGCAAGTTGATTTTCAACATGGGGTCCATTTCAATTGCCTAATTTGGTGTATTTGATTAATTTACTTTGTTACTAATTTTTAAAAAACATTTTTTTAAAATCGTGAGCATTTTACCATGTAGCACTATTTCTGCAAGTTTTACCATACAGTTTCAATGTACCAAACCTTGACTAATGCATATACAAACTATTTTGTTAGGATCAGAAGGAACACATTTGTAATATAAACTGGTATAGCACTTTGTGGATCTTTTCAGATATTAAGGATTCACTGGAGAGCATTTTCAAATAAGTTTTTAAGGAACCTGTGATAAATATATATGCTGAACCTTGGAACTGCAATGAAGGGAGGTGTTTTAACTTTTTCCTTTTCATGAAGGCACTGACAAAAATGGATTCCCTCCCCAGCAGCTGTTTGTATCAAGAGAAAAGGTTTTGTTAGAATCAACAGAAACTTTTCTTTGGTGTGTAACTTCGATCGAGGAAGGTTTTCTTAGCAGCTATGATGAAGGGGAGGGTTAAACATCCCCAAATTATACCTTTTGACCGCAAAATTTGTTTAGATTCTAGGTAATAACAGCTACTGCTCATGATAATTGAATGTCCTGTCTAGTTATGTCCATTTGGGGAGAGAATAAGTTGTATTTTTAATTTGGCAAAAATCATATAGAAGTAATCCTGAGCCTGATGTCATTGCTAAAGCTGTTGTTTCCTTTCTGTCAAATGTTCACTCTTCTTCAAGAGGCATGGTGGCTCAGTGGCTTAATGACACTGGAGATGGCATTTGCTCTGTGGTTCAAGCCCTAGCACTGTATGTTGGGGTGAGCTCCTGTCACTCGCCTCAACTTCTGCCCACCTAGCAGTCTGAAGGCATGTTCCATGAGACTAGTTAATTAGGTACCACTTCAGTGGGGAGATGAGCTGCTACTTTGGGCCGGTGGTCAGATTCCTGCCAGCTCTGAACCTTCCCGATTGCGACACTCATTTGCAAGGCAGCTCTAGTGGAGAGAGGAGGACACTGCAAAAAGAGCCGTTTGTCTTTTTCTCTGGTGTGAAGCTAGCTTGCTCTCCTGTGGCGCACCTTGGGAAACTTGCAAACATGTACCGCAACAGAGCTAGTTAATTGCCAGCCAAACTACTACTCTGCATTAGCATTGTGGTCTCCTGGCTATTGAAACAATGTCATACACTAATAATATTCTTCCTCGAGTATTCAACTCTTTGCGGAGTCCTTTTTGCTTCCTGAGCTTGGATGTTTGCTTGCAGGTGTTACATCACCAGACTAGGGCAACATCTTCAGTGACTGGATAACAAAATAGCACTGAAGATGTTGCCTACTCTGATAACAAAACATTTGCAAATAAATAACCAAGACACCTAGGACTCCACAGGACTCAACCCTGAGCATTATATTATATATATTATATTATATTCTCTTCTATTGATTTAACTTTTTTGCTGCTATCTAATGGTTATTGTAGTCCTACTTACAGTGAATGATGAACCAGAAATTGCTTCTTGAGCTGCTACTTACAGCTGCCTAGGGCAGTTTTGGGGAAGTCTGCCTGGTTCCGAAGAAACTGCCTCTTAACACATTGTGGGGGTATTCTTTAACTAAAGGGGCATTACTGTTCCCCCTTAATCCTTTCTGGATTACTTCAAGTAATAAGATGTTTCTGAGAAATGTGAAACTGCCAGATAGTTGATTATATAGCAAGCATGTGAATCTTGTGTTAGAACTGTTTCAACAGATTAAGAATTCATTTTGAGCCCAGACTCAATTAAAAATGATACTAAGTAGTTTGAAAGCAAGTTAGCTAAAATGTATTTTTCCGAATGTGCCTACTAAACTATTGATAGGCCCATTTCTCATTCTGCCAGTTTTTGAAGTGCTTCTGGTGGGAACAAAAAGTTATTTTTAACAGCAGCATTGAGATGTAAAAATCTTATCCTTCAGAGGTTTGTTTGATTCTTTTTCTTGATACTTTCCTTACCAAAATCATTTATAATTAAGTAGCTCTTTCATGTAAAATTAATCTGCTAGCTCCAGTGCTTGTAAATTTTGTTTTAGGTATGATTTGATGGGTATGGGTTTGAATACTGTGATTTTTATAGGTATGTGTTTTTATTTTATTTTCATTGTATTTTCAAAAGACTGAAAATATGTATAGCATTAGCAGGAACCCCAGTCACAAAAGCTGGAATGGCTAGAAGTGTAAAACTATAGAAAATTGTAGAAAACAGTAACTTTTAAAAATGCTCAGCTATGTAAACATTCAGAAGCAACCAGACCTGCTCTTTCATGGGGAATAATCCCATCTGTATTGTTATTGATACAATTTTAAATCCTAAATATTTCTGAAACTTTGTCCTGCTTGGATTAAATTTAAGTTTATTTCCAGACTATCATAGCCACCAGAATTTCTACAACATATCTAGTATAACCTGGGGTAACAATATATTCTTGAGTATCCTGAATGTATTGATATCTCACCCCAAACCAGCAGCTTTGTATGGATAACAGACAGACAGACAGACAGACAGATAATCAGAGTTGGAAGGGACCTTGTAGGTCATCTAGTCCAACCCCCCGCCCAAGCAGGAGACCCTACACCATTTCTGACAAATGGCAGTCCAATCTCTTCTTGAAAGTCTCAAGTGATGGCGCTCCCACAACTTCCGAGGGCAAGCTGTTCCATTGGTTGATTGTTCTCACTGTCAGAAAGTTTCTCCTTATTTCCAGGTTAAATCTCTCCTTGTTCAGTTTCCATCCATTATTCCTTGTCTGGCCTACAGGTGCTTTGGAAAAGAGCTTGACCCCTTCCTCCCTGTGGCAGCCCCTTAAATATTGGAAGACTGCTATCATGTCTCCCCTGGTCCTTCTCTTTACTAGACTAGCCAAGCCCAGTTCCTGCAACCATTCATTGTATGTTTTAGCCTCCAGGCCCCTAATCATCCTGGTTGCTCTTCTCTGTACTTTTTCTAGAGTCTCAACATCTTTTTTATAATGTGGTGAACAAAACTGGATGCAGTACTCTAGGTGTGGTCTTACTAAGGCTTTATAAAGTGGTATTAGTATTTCCCTTGATCTTGATTGTATCCCTCTGTTAATACAATTTAGGATTGCATTAGCTTTTTTGGTGGCTGCTGCACACTGCTGGCTCATATTTAGCTGGTTGTCCACTAAGACTCCAAGATCCCTCTCACAGTTACTGCTATTGAGCCTTGTTTCACCCAGTCTATATGTGTACTTTTGGTTTTTCTTGCTTAAGTGTAGGACTTTACTTTTCTCTACACTGAATTTCATTTTGTTAGATATGGCCCAGTGTTCTAGTCTGTCAAGATCCATCTTGGGTGTTAGCTATTCTTGCCAGCTTAGTATCATCTGCAAATTTGGTAAGTTCACCTTCTATTCCCTCATCTAAATCGTTTAATGAAGATATTTAAGAGTACTGGGCCTAAGATGGAACCTATTTCTATGTTAAATAGAAATGGGGAAGGATCTGAATTCTTTACATAGAAATGGGAAAGGACTTAAATTCTTTAGAATGCCCATAGACTTGAGCTCTTTTCCTTCCTCATAGTAAGTGTGGAACTATTGCAAAATTGTGCCTCTGGCTCTTAGCTCCCATTAAACAATCCACTAGAATACTATCATCAGTGGAGCCCAAAGCTGCGAGAGTTAAATATATCTAGCAGTAAGGGAAAATTCCCATTCTCCATGTGACATTGTAGGACATCTACCAGAGTAAACAATGCTGATTCCATTTCATGCTTGAGCCTGAATCCAGTCAGAAAAGAATTCAGATAATCTGTTTCATTTAAGATAATGTACAGCTCAGCCACCACTAAAAAAAAATTTTCTACAAACTTCCATAAGAAGAAAAAGTTGGTTGATGACTATCATGCAAGGCTGGATCAAGGTACGGCTTTTTCAAGAGAGGTCACTCCACTGCTCCTTTTAAGGCCAATAGCAACACACTCTCACTTCAGAGGAGACTTAACTATCTCTGAAATCTTGCCACCAATGATGCTCCCCCCCGTTAATGTTCAAAAAAGATAGAAAAATCATGGATGCAGCTCATAGATGGTGGTGTTCATATTACAGAAAACACAATCTATTTTTGGGTGTCTACAAGCTCAACACAAAATCCCAGATAGCTTTGCAAGATGCATGTGCACACAAGATGTGTCCATATTATTTGTACTCAGCTGAGTAAGATCAAAATCAGACAAATTTATATGGGGAATTTGATCAAACAATAAAAGTTTTTCTTATGCATATTTTTGTCTCCATTTCTGCCCTCACATTCTTCTCTTCTTTTTTTAGGCTGTGCATCTAGCTCAGGCAAGTTTCCAGATTGAAGCTTTTGGTTCTGCATTTATTCTTGACCTCTCCCTGAACAAGTAAGTGTATATCTATGGTACTGAATTATTTTGTTCAGTATAGCAGATCTTTTAATTAAAATAAATATTTTAATGAAAGGAAAATTCATAAAGTATACTAATTTCCAAGGAAAATGTTGTCAAACTGTAAACATACAGTCAGGGCTTCCATCTGATTGTAAACAAGGTTGTTAGCAGGGGTGTTCTCCCATGCAAATAGTACAAGTTGCATCTCAGTTGGATGGTAAGTCGGCATTATAAATGAGAGACAGAAGTGACCCAAAACATTACAGAACCTTACTAAAGCCTTATTGGAATTGTGGCTAAAATATTTGCCAACAGTTTTGAGCAAAATAGAAGACTGAGTAATGTAAAAGAAAATCTCTTAATGAAGAAACAAACTGGATTTAGACCAGAGCACTCCACAATAGGTAATTGTTTTATTTTATATCACCTTGCAACAAAACAACTGACTAGTGGCAAGAAACTGTTTACCACTTTTATAGGTCTCAATGTGAGTTTGGTTCTATGAACAGAAACATTTTGTGGAAGAAACTGGCCAAAGTAAATATGGAACTCTAGATTACTCTTGGTTAAGGCCCTCGACTCAAAAATCCATTTGAAATCTCTACGGATGTTAGAGGCTCTCTAAGAGTATACCTGCAGATAAGGGTGTTAGACAGAATTGTTTTCTATCCCCAATGCTTTTTAGCCTCCCTGTCCATGATGGCAAACCTATGGCACACGTGCCAGAGGTGGCACGCAGAGCACTCTCTGTGGGCATGCAAGCCGTCGCCCCAGCTTAGCTCCTTTGCGCATGCATGCGCATGCCTCCCACCAGCCAGCTGGTCTTCAGGTCTCTGCCACGCATGCTTGGGGGGCAGGGCACATGTGCAGGGATCATGCATGCATGCGCAGGGGCAAGGTGCATGCATGGGAGTTGTGTGTGCATGCACGAGGACACAGGGTGGGGCACATGCATGTGGGGCATGCTTGTGTTGCATTTTGAGGATGTGGCAAGTGCACTTTGACACTTGGTGCCGAAAAGGTTAGCCATCACTGCTCTATGTCAACAATGTTCCAAGATTCCTATATGCTTCAGACATTTATATGCCAAAGATCCATGATTAATAAATTTATATAGTACTAATGCCTAACTCTGAAATAGGCCCATTGTGAAAGCTAAATTCCTACTGTTTTCTTAATTCTTTAAACATCAATAATATCAAATAAAACTTGACAATACTTATCAAACAAAGTGTGAAGTTTAACTGGCAGATAATTGGGAAGCCTATTGATCAAGTGAATTTTTTTACTTGTTTAGGAGTGGTTTTAACCAACACAGGACAGGATTGTGGGTAAATCATTTTAAAAGAAGCTCAGCAAGGGCTGAGAAAAATACTAAATGATTATATAAATTATTTAATTACAATTACCCAGGGAGCGGCCCCTAAAGAGGGATTGGGAAACCCAACTTGTTTACCCCCCAGAGGGCAAAAGAGCTGTTGGAAGCCCTGTGCTACTCCTCATTGAATGGCAGAAGAGACTACTAGGGAAATGTCAGAGGAACCACTTCCTGAGTGGGCTTCTCCAGGACGTAGGCCAGCAGCAGTGGGGGTGAAGGTAGCTTTGGGCCTATGTCTAATAGCAATACCACTTAGACTTATATACCACTTTATAGTGCTTTACAGCTGTCTCTAAGCTGTTTACAGAGTCAGCATATTGCCCCTAACAATTTGGATCTTCATTTTACCCAGCTTGAAAGATTGGAAGGCTGAGTCAACCTTGAGCCTGGTGGGATTTGAACTGCCAAATTGTAGACAGCTGGCTGCAGCAGAAGTAGCTTGCAGTACTGCACTCTAACCACTGCGCCACAGAGGCTCCTAATGCTACCCTGAGTGGTCAGGCTGGGAAGTGGAATTGTAGGGGCCTGAAGAAAATGGGGTTCTGATTTGCTAAGGTCTCTGTTACCATAGGAGACCAGGTTTGGGTATAGGAGAAGGAAGACGAGTGGACTCCCTCTTCCCTGGGCCCCACAATTTGGCCAACCTGTGTTTCCATTGGAAGGGAAGCCTACTACAAACGTCCCCTCACTTGGTCCAAAGTTTTAGCAAACTGCCTCTCGAGCACAGCATGCTTCCTTTTTTCAGCCTTTAGTTCAGCTTGGGAAACTTTCTTTGGAGCAAAAGCTTTGGCTCTGATTTTTGCCATTGCTTCCCTTTGAGCTGACTGGCCATGCTACCTCTTCCTTCCTTCCTTTTTTTTTTCTTCTGGGCTACGGGTGTGTGTGCCTCTAATCCAGAGGCTTCTGTCTGCTCCATGTTCAAACCAGAGGTACACAAGAGGTGCTGGAAGCAGCCCTCAATATGTGTCACCTGATCTCACTGGGATAATTCTTGTTGAGGTAATTCCCCATTAGGAGAATGAGCGCACACAGGGAGACGTAGTGAGAATGGTGAAGAATAACACACAACCAGCACACAGATACACTGTATAGTAAAATGTAGGTTTTTATTTCCAGTAAAACGGTTAAGCAAAGTTCAACAAACAGTCCAAGTCATTCACGGTTAAAGCAGTCAGTTTTCAGTCCAGGGATAATCCAATAACAAAGTCCAGTATCAAAAACAGTTCAGTAACAGACTTACATCAAATCCAAGAATAACGATGATCAGTAACACTCAATAGGGAAATGCAGGAATGGCAACACTCTCGGAAACAACAGAACAGAACCTAAACAACCGAGGTTTCTGGCTCCATCTTATGGCTGTTTGAGGATCCACACCCAATTACAATTTTAGCATTCCCTTAAAGAGACAGTATTAAAATGTCTGTCCTGGCTTATATATTTTCCAACCCAACTGTTAGGTGACTTACATTCCTAACAGTTCTCTCAGAAATATTGCTACAGGGTAAGACAAACCAATGCTTCTGGCCAATTAAAATGGCTGTTGGCCTCATGCTTTGTGCTGGTGTAATAAAATGGCTGTCTGAACGAGGAGAAATTGTTGGAGGGCCTTTGTCTCTCTATAGGCTCTAAGAGCCCTGAGCGAAGAGAGAAACCCAGGAGCAAAACTTTTAGCCTCGGAGCAGCTGTGTATCAGAGGCTTGAGATCAAACCTGCAACTTTTTCCGGCTAATTGCTAGCTACTATCCTTAACTCTGCTTCCAAGACACAAAGCTCATTTTGACTAGAAGCTGAGTCAAAGCTGGGGGACCTGGCTAGAGGCTGGCTTTTTGTACGGCAGACTCAGCTCTATGATGTAATAGGGAGGAGTCTAACCCATCCTGGACTCTCGAAGCAGCATATAGGAGAACAGTTAACTATGGCTCAGCCCAATTTCTGGGTAAGTCAACTTACCAAAGTTATTTCTACCAGTGTTTACTCTCAACTAACTCTTAAGCAAGGCAAATTTTTAAATTTCTCAGTCTACATGGAGTTATTGGCAAAAGATAAATCTTTAAATTGGTTTGCTAAGAAGAAAAGTATTTTTTAATTTGAAAAATACCTATCAGTGAGTTTGATGCAGTTCTGAAGAAGGGCTATTCTAGAATAAGATATGAGTTGTTGGCCATATTAGATACATCTACCACCTGCCATATCATGACTTGAAGATATTGTTCACGTTTTGTTTGACTGTCAACTGTATGGCCCACTTAGACTAAGATAATTAACATCCCTGCTTGAAAGAACAGCCTACTGGGATCTGAATTGCATATTGTTCTATTTCCTCCTGGGCTCTAAAGTATACACTGTGAGCAGAACTGCTAAATTTATAATTAAGGCAGTTGAGAACCTGTTACCTCAAACAGATTGGAGTGTCCTGTAAAGGTAATGTGTTTATCTGAAGGTTGATGCTTTGCATTTATCACATATGTATTTTATTACTCTCTTTTCTTTTATATATTTACTATAGAATTAGATCAAACATTTTATTTTTATTTTATCTTCTTTGATATGGTCATAAGACTAATCACTAAACTACTGCTGTAGCCATGCTCCATTTTTGCTGCAGTGCTGTAATTGGTGGGGAAGGACAGCAAAGTCAATCACTCTGCAATTTCTTCCAATAGGAACTTGTCTTACAGGATTCATTGGAAAAGGATTTTGCATCTGAGGATGACTTTCTTTCTACATAAATTGAAATGCAAAATGCAGCTTAGGCTAACTTTGATTTACTTCTGTTATCTACTCTCATTTCCGTTACCTCTAAGCCAGGATGAACACCAGATTAATACATTTGAAAACTCCACAGGGACTTCCTAATACTTAATACAGCCTAGCTACACCTTGCACTGGAACTGTGGCCTTCACGGGGTGAGGGAGAAGCCCAGTTGTATCACTTGATGCTATCCATTTAGTTGCTTACTATCTGATTATCTGTGTACAGGCTTGTCCTTATTAGGCAGTTTAACTCTTTCAAAAACATGAGAAATACGTTTTAAGGAGTTATACAGCAAGGTGGATGCTACCAGCCATTTATCAACTAAACTTGATAAAGAGGGAAGTGAGCTCTGTATTAACAGTTGTCTTCATGACTATTATCCAGCTTGGACAAATTCTTAAAGACTGGATTGTTGTAATCATAGTGCCTCTGCATAAGTATTGCACCGAAGAGTATCCTTAAAAGTATAGATCAACATGCTTGTTCAGCACCATCACAAGTTTATGCCAGGAATTTGCAATAGAAGCTTTGTGACCAGCTGGGGCAGGAAATGTTCTGGATGGAAGAACAAACTGATTTCAAAGAAGGTTGATCAGCTATTATGTATACTCTTCCAAAATCTCACAGAGAAATAAATGGTCAATCTGTAGCTTTTTATGCAGAATTTATTGATTTATGCTTTGACTCCAACTTGCGTGATGTTCTTTGGAAGAAATTGAAAACTTCCTCTACAGATAGGAGGCTTTTATATTGCTAGCCTTCCAAATTGGCAGGAAGGTGCATCTCTACCTTTCTTAATGCTGATAATGCCGTGATCGTCTGGAGGAGGGCTGTCAAACTCCCGGCTGAGTTTGCCCATGCCCATGCCCAGTTTAGTAAGGGGGAAAAAATCCCAATATGTCATGATGCTACTGTGATGCCGTGAGTTTGACACCCCTGATCTGGAACATACACATTGGTCTTAGGACAGCATTCCTAGCACTTTCTCAACAATGAACATGAACTCACTGAATTATTCTAAAACCAAACTTGAAGTGTTTGCCAGAAGACCAAAGAGCTATTCCTATACAGTATTAAGGTTCATTATAGTAAGCATGAGATGTCATGCCTCAAGCTGATGAAGGGCACATGGCTGTTCTGTTGCTCAGAGTGCCCAAAAGAGCTCAGTTCAGAGATGAAAGGGAGTTGCATTCTAGCAACGCTTAAGTAATTTCAAGCTGAATCTTTGTCCCAGATCACTTATGAACAATTTTCTTGGACAATTTCTAGCTTTGCCTCCATAGAATGAATCCAGTCCAAATTCTCCAGGGTGTCATTTTAGGTGCCATGTTGTGTTCCTAATGAATCTCTATGCCTTAAATCAGGTGTGATGAAGGTAGAGGTATCTAATGGCATGGTCCTGAATACAGTGATTTTATACTGTATATCTCATTATATTATTTCCTTATCTTTTGTTTTTCTTTGGTCTTTGGCAGTAATAAAATTGAAGTTCAAGTTGAAATTGGGACAATTGTGCAAATGTTTAAAAGTATGCTGTTTTAAGCTATTTGTCATTTCTAAATTATTGCTTTGTTATGCAAACCATTAAAGAGGCCACTGGTTGCCAGCCTATGTATTGAATTATGTTTTATGAATTTCCTTGAGCAGTGCAAAAAAGAAATGTAAGATATAAATGCTATGTATGTATAAAACTAAATAAAATTGGTTTCAGGCCCATTTTTTGTGATGCAGGCATGCCTCTCAGGCAGTTGCAAAAATAAGTTTTTAGGCAATTTTTGGAAGTGTTTTGCCTTTGTCTTCTTTCTTAAATCCGGGGGTGGGGGGTGGGGGTGGGGCTGGTCCAAAATCATCCAGCTGGCTTTGTGCTTACTGCGGGACTAGAACTCACAGTTTCCATGTACCTAACCACTTAATATGCAATACTTAAGTCCAGATTTGCAGTTATAATATCTCATCAGGACTTTGCTATTCTTTGTTATTCTTTATTCACAATTAATAGTCAGCTTTATATAGCAGATTATACTGACACATTTTCCTTTGCTTCTTTGTAGTGACTTATTATCTGCTGATTATGTGGAAATTCATTATGAAGATGACAAACCACAATATTCAAAGGTAATGTAGTCATTTTTCTTGTGTTTGATAATGTTAGCATATCTCATATATTTATTTTTTGTTAAATTTTTCAAAGTGTGAAATGTGCATTTTGTCTACTAATGTCTGTTAACAGTTGATATGCTGTCTCTTTGCTATGATAGGGTAGTAGGACAAGTTTAATAAGTTTTTATTAAAATTAGGCTTTGAAGTCACAGCCTGCTTAGTTTGAAACACTGTATTGCTTGTTGCTGTTTGGTCACTAAGTCGTGTCTGATTCTTCATGATCCCATGGACCACATCGTGTCAGCTCCCCATCCTCCATTATCTCCTGTCATCCCCCTCTCCTTTTGCCTTCAATCTTTCCCAACATCAAGATATTTTCTAATTAATCCTCTCTTCTCATTCTGGCCAGCTTTACTCTGTCTGGTCAAAATTGAACAGAATAAGGTCTCTTACTGGAAGAAGTGCCTCTGCCCTGTATCAGTGGGGATGGAAAGATCCACCTTGTTGCAATTGTGGTGCTGATATGCAAACTGTTAAATATATTGTGCACGATTGCCCATGATGTGTGTTCTCTGGTGAAGCAGCCTCAGAGGTCATTACCTGGAAGCTGAATTGGACATCCAGTTATGAGGCTACTGCCTTACCCCAAAACAAGTTTTACTATAATTACATGGATTGTGTACATATGTTTATTTCTGTTCTACATATTCTCATCATATACATAATAATAATAATAATAATAATAATAATAATAATAATAATAATAATAATAATAATAATTGTCCAAAGTATTTGATTTTCAGCTTCAGTATCTGTCCTTCCAAAGAACAGAGTTGATTTCCTTTAGGATTGACTGATTAAACTATTGTTTAATGTTTTTTACAAATAAAATATTAAGACATTTTAAAAAACTAATTTTTTTATTTAAAAAAAGCAGAAAACAGAAACTATCCAAAGGATTTCATGTGGAAAACAGGCAAAATGCTGAATATTCTTAGTCCCATTTTGTTGCTTTAAATTCAGTTTCAGTTTCATCATTGCCAAACAGCTTATTATTCTGACAAGGAATGTAAATATTATCAACTATAAGCAATGTGCTAGGCAAATGCAAATTGCTAAATAAAAGTAACTTTTGGGGGTTTCAAAAAGCTATATTATTACAGTTATCTCATCAGACATAAAACTGGGATACTTAAAATTAATTTTTACTGTGTTGTAGTAAAAGAGTGTCTATATTATCTTCACTTGATATATACATTTATGGAATGAGGCAAAGGTTGGTCTTTAATGTCTACTTTTGGCTTCCGCCTCCATAGAAAGAAGCATGTCTGCACAGGCCATGTCATTGTTACCTGATATCATAGATATTCATTTAAGAGAATTCTACATTGAAGTAACCTGGATGCTAGATTTTATCTGTGCTGGTGGAAGAGAGAGTACAGAAAATAGTTTTGAATTTTGCTTCATGTAAAATGTTCATTGGTTGTGCAAAACATTAATTGATATTTCAAATATGGATTGTGGCTTAATTGGAAGTATAATATTTGGATTGGCTTTAAAAAAACTTCCAGATAGAATCCTGTTAAGCCCTGTTTTTATTGACAACTAAGAAACTCCTGCATTATCAACAGTATTTGAGACACATTTAGAGGCTAAAGTTTCACTAGAAATAATAAATGGGACATTTTTTTTACATATAGCAGTAACTTGGCCTAGATTTCTCTAAACATTTTTCAGGATTAGTCATTTGTAAATAGTGAGGGAAGTCTTGAGATTATATACCACTTTGCTGATATAATTACTAATTATATAATTTCTCAGGAGAAATAGTGAATTCATTATCCACGAGATTACATCTACACTTCTACCATGTTTAGAAAATGGATTTTAATTTTATTTTATGCGGTAAAAAGAGCTGCTATTTGCTATTTTGTATTTTTTATGAATGTGCTATTTGATGACTTGAAACTGAGGTGAAATAACATTTGAATATCTTTGCAAGCATGGGATCACAAAATAGACAAAGTAATAAAGAAGCTAAAGTTCTCTGGGTCTTCAGAATTGAAACAGAAGAGCATTTGTGTTCATGTGACTGGGTGGGTGCAGCTTGGTGGTCACGTGACTAGCTGGACGTAGTTTGTATGTAAACATTGTAAATATTTATGTAAATATGTAAAGTTTTATTTTTTTAATAAAGCAACTTTTACCCAAAAGCAGGCAAAGCAGACAGGCAGATTGAGTTATTCACAGAATCACAGATTCACTCAGAGATCTACCTTTCTGCCATCTGCTACCTGAGTCTTTCCTGAAAAATAGAAGCTTCAGTCCTAAGGAAGGTTCAGCTCTGCTTTTAGATTAGCTAGAAAGCAAGAAATACAATGGTTTCCTGCTTCCTAGCTAATCTAAATCTCCCGGCACAGCAGAACAGCAGATGGCTGGTGTGAAAAAAAGGGAAAAATAGCAACTTAGCAGGCAAGTTTGATGGCGCGCATGCCAGGTAAGGAGTGAGTGGGCGGGGTGGGGCCAGCCAGTGGTGCAATTTGCCAGTTCTCCAAACTGGGCAGAATCATAACAACCGGTTCTGTAAAACCGGTCTGACCAGGTAGAATCCCACCCCTGAGGTTATATCCTGCAATGATACCAGATTCTCTGAAAGTACTTGATAGGTGGACAAAAATGCCAAAACCAATCTAAAAATAGGCCCATAATTATATTGTCCATTAAAATAATGGTAGATAACTGGGGAATTATTTAGGAGCAATTAAAAATCAGTTTAATAACAAATCTTAAATCCATTTTAACAGTTTGCGTTGTAATTCTTTGTCTAGTTGATAATAGGTCTGCCCATATCCAATTGGGTAGGCTTCGCTCTTTCTTGAAAATTACACTTTTAATTTATTTAGTAAACTACTTTTTTATTTTTTGCAGTGTATACTAAAGCTGTATTAAAAAAGAAATCACACAAGCTTTTCACTTATGTTTTATTGTTGTATACAGGCTTAAACTATGAATCCATTATTCTGATATGCATTGGATCACTTAAAAAGTAATTATAAAAACATAGATTTTTTTTGTATATTTTCAGGGAGGGGAACACTGCTATTATCATGGAAGCATCAGAGGCATCCCAAAATCCAAAGCTGCTGTTTCTACTTGTAATGGACTTCAGTAAGTATAATTACTAATAAATATCTCATTATATTGCTACTCTGTATCCTTCGTATTAGGCAGTTTTCCACCGTCTGTGTTTTGAACAGACATATCCCAGCAACTGAAAATATGACTTTTTTTCATCCCTTCTTCCCCATCATGGACGCCATGGGCAGAAAGCCTTCTTCCATCATTAGTTATCGTTTTTCTTATGACTGCAAGTGACCAGTAACCCAGTGTAATTGGATAACAACTAACTATTTGCTAATATGCAAATTTTAGGGAATTTCGGGGGAGGGGAACAACATTGTTGGTATAATTAAAGCATTAAGAGAAAAAGAAGATATTAGAGTGAAAGAAATGCTGATAAATAGAGAATATGTCTGGGACTTCTGGAAAGGCTTCTAGAGTGAGGTTGTTGAATGAGACTATAAGTTGATACAGGAAAGTATAAATCAATCCAACTCTAATAAATATGTTTACTTAGATTTGGGGTGGCTATTGGGCAGCTGTGATAGCGAGTTATTACTATCAATTTTCTTAGCTATGCAGATAATTGGACAGAAACAAAAACATACAGAATGCTCAATCTAGTGGTTTCCCCATAACTATGAGGTCTGGGAAATATTTAGAGGATATTAGCAATTTGGAATACAGTGCTCTATCATCTCTCTCTGTCCTATCTATCATCTATCTATATCTATCTACAGTCTGTCTGTCTGTCTGTCTATCTATCTATCTATCTATCTATCTATCTATCTATCTATCTATCT